TGATTGGACCTGTTGTCTGTTTCCCTGTTGGTTAGGGGAGTGTTTCACCTGTGTATAATTCAAACTTTGTGCATCTGTTTGTATCACTGCTCTGCCTTGAGAGAGAAGCAGAATGTACCCGTTCGCTTTAGTCTCTGCGTCAACCAATGGAGGTGCCGTGGAGGAACACGGTGAAGGATTCACAAATGCTAAGTCATGGTTGCGGGCCCCACTGCTCATCTCTGCTTCTTCTCTTTTTTGCATGAATGTGTCCTGCCAGTGGACGAGGGAGATCAAGATGGTAGTTTGTATTTCCTGCTGAGTCGTTGTTGCTTTGCCTGCATTTTCGTCCTTGTCTGTTCTTGTTTTTGTTTTTTTTTAATGTGAGGGTCTCATAGAAATACATAAAAAGCTAATCACAAACTTCCCAATCCCAGTTGTGTTTTTACCACAAAAAACAATTAACAGTATTACAGAGTCAAAGTCTTATAATGTGCCTCATTGTGAAAGTGTGCGCTGATGTATGTTCGAAAAATCAAACTAAAAATAGTTCATGTGGTGATTTATGACACAGCGTACTGATCCTGATTAGCACTTTAAATGTCTCTGATTATATTGGTTTGATTTACACACTAATGTACAACAAATTAACATAAGTAAGGTAGAACAGTGGCCTCATTCCTGTGTATTAACCTTTACTTCTAAGAAAATGCACAGTAATAAATCAAGTTATTGATGTTTTAAGTTCATACCTCTGGAGGAGCGTTGATTTTCAACCAGTATTACTGTGTATTAACAGAACTCGAAACAGAGGCTAACACATAATAATCAAACCATTGATTTTGGAAGGTATTGTTAAGACACTCACACTACAAAGATCAATTGGAGGTGTGAAACAACTTACAGCCCTCAGATGTAACTCAGCTTGTCCACGTGGATTGATGAATTTTCCCCCTCATTAACCGGCAGCTCTTTACACTTCTTCCTCTCCATGTTTGCGTATCTAACTGTTTGATATCTCTCTTCTCTCCCTGTTGCCGTTTTGATGCTGAAAACCCAGAGGAGAAGCCAAAGTTCAAGTGAGTATATTGTCTATAAGCTTTGGATGAAACATCATGTTTTTTCATGTAAGTTACTCGCCAGTACAATTTGCATATTATGTCTTTCTACAGACCCTCTGCTCCGAAGATCCCTGATGGCGAGAAGGTGGACTTTGACGTAAGCTGACATGTTTTTGTCGACTGGGGAAGTTAACTCAATCGCTCTTCTCCAAACCAAATACTTAAAGTACATGACATGCTATGTGACAGTAGGCCACATGACTGACATGTTATTAAGGGTTCTTCTACACAAAAACTTCCTGCTGAAACCTACTCATTCACCGGCCCTTGAGAGAGTTAGTAACCCTCACAGACCAGGTTTTTCCACTCAGCTTGGGTTTGGACCCAGCAGTCTCTGTGGTACATTCAGTAGATACAAGCCAACTACCTCATGGCTTGTCCGACTTCTTCTCACAGGACATCCAGAAGAAACGTCAAAACAAAGATCTGATTGAGCTGCAGTCGCTGATCGATGCTCACTTCGAGTGCAGGAAGAAAGAGGAGGAGGAACTCATCGCTCTCAAAGAACGAATTGTGAGATCTTACCCAAATAAAACAACTAGAACACCAGCTTCATTTCTGCATGTGGCAGAAATCATTGCATCCTGTCTTTCGATTTGCGTTTTCAGGAGAAGCGTCGAGCTGAGCGAGCTGAGCAGCAGAGGATTCGCGCTGAGAAAGATAAGGAGCGGCAGGCCAGGCGGGAGGTACGCAGCTTCTGCTTCTCTTGAACTGTCACAGTGTTTTTGTGCGGTGCCGTTCTTCTTTCAGTAGTAAAGAACCTTTTAAAATAGATTAATTGATTTCAAACAGAAGTCATTTGCAATAGGAGCCTCTGACTGTGGAGAACAGAAAGGACATGTAAGAGTAATTTAACACCAGGCTGAAAAGCTATGTCACACTGACCTCTACTGTGCTGAAGGTTCACATCTGTTGCACATCTGACCTTGCAGGGATGTTAGAGTTTAAATTACTCCTCACTTTTCATGGACATTAATGACAAGAGGAGAAAATAACACCAACACGGGCGTTTGAATTGTGATATTTTGAAATTCATTTTACAGGCTGAGCGGATCAGAAAGGAGGAGGCCGACGCCCAGAGGAAGGCTGACGATGAAGCCAAGAAGAAGATAGCGCTGACTAACATGGGATCAGGCTTCAGCAGCCATCTGCAGAGGGTGCGTTTCATTTCTTTTCTCCTCTTCTTTGTTGTTGTTGTGTGTTCAGATTTTTTTGCTTCATACAATGCTTCATACAAAGCACGGTGCAGACATGGAGTTTTAACTGGTTGGACTTTTCTAGATTGACCAGAGGAGAGGCAAGAAGCAGACTGAAAGAGAAAAGAAGAAGAAGGTCCTTGCAGAGAGATGCAAACCCCTGAGCGTCGACGACCTCAGCGACGACAACCTGAGGTAAAAATCCAGAAGACATCTCACTCTCTGCAGCAAAACACCACAGAGAGCATTTGTTATTGTGTTAACAGTTTAAATGTACAATGAGCAAAGTTTTTATGATGGGTAACATTAGTCACTTCATTAGTTTGTTCATTGATTCTTTGGTTCCTGGTTTGTGTTTATCAGGGCAAAGGCGAAGGAGCTGTGGGAGTGGCTGCACAACCTGGAGGCAATTAAATACGACCACTGCGAGAAGCTCAAGAGACAGAGATACGAGGTCAGTAACAGAGATGAGGACATTTTGTACATTTGATTTAGGTGATTACTACGCAGCTTAGTGAGCTTTCCTTTCTGGTGGGAGGTATTAAACAGCCCAAAATGTCCCAGCATCAGTAACAGCCAACAAGGCAGTTTCAGGCAGGAGATTTGGGTGTGAAATAGTTAGTATTAAATGCTGACTGTTGTTTTGAGGTGCACATTGCACATGTTGTAGCTTTAAAGTGAGAATCTCCAGGTCCTGAATGTGTGCAGGTGAGATCTACCTGCCTGCTTCAGTCAGAGCTGTCTGTCTTTCAGGTCATCTCCCTCAGAAACCGCATCGACGAGCTGCAGAAACAGTAAGTGTCTGTTCATGAGCATCAACCACAACATTTGCAGATAACATCAGAAAACAGCTGCATCTTAGTTTACAGGCTAAAATCACACAATCTATCTGAGTGTGATGTTGGACACTGAAGCCTTTATATACAGTATATAAGCATTATATTGTATTGTAAGCAGATTTACGTGTTTATTAATGTATTTGTAACTTTATTACATTATTTTTATTTTAAAAATGTTATTAATTATTATCTGTAATTTGTGGTTTGTATTTATATGACCGCCCACTGACGGATCCTGCAGGTCTGAAGGGAAATCCGTCCTTTAATGTCTTCATTGGCTCAAAAGTGATCAAATATCACTTTGTTTTTCCCTTCACCGTTCACGGAATTATTCAGCATTAATACAGTTTACCTGTTGATGTGTCGATACTCTGGTACGTTGGGATGTTTAAAAGGTGACTCTGCAGCTCTGACTCTGTTTTTGCGCTCTGCGCCTTGCAGCAGCAAGAAGGGAGCCGCCTCGCGCCGCAGAAAGTGAGCGGCTCCTCGGAGACGGTCAGGCCGGACAGGAGGCACGTTCCTCCGGCTACGGCAGCGGCTCACACCCCGGTGACACGCACAGCTCCGGAACAACGGCAACAATTGGACGTCTTACCGCCTGTGTCTGCTTGAGTGAAATGTTTTTTTTCTGGATGAATTTAGCTCAAATAAAGAAATTTTAAAAAATGTCGTAGAAGTGTTTGTGTTAAAAAAAAAAAAGAAAAAGAAAAAGATGTGTCTGATCTGATTATCTAACTGGCTTCCTGTCAAACTAGAGGTTCATGCAGTAACACAACCCAACACAAAAAACAGAACTGTCAGAATATACATGATTATATTTTTTTTATCTGCATCTTAAGGGAAGAATTATGAAAAAAATCCCTGTTTGGTTCAGTCTCATCAACCTCTCATCAACAGGTAGTTCTTTTTCAGATTAAAAGCTCTAATAAACCCACCACATGGCAAACAGACAAAGTTAGCACTAGTCAGTGAACATAGTGGAGCATCCAGCAGCTAAAGAGTCACAGGTATTTCCCTCAGGAGTTAATTGAGACCAAATCAGAGCTGATAGGAGAGAATATTGGACTTGCATTGACCTGGTGAGCAGACCCACGACTCTGAATGAAAGAAAATGTTACTGTGTAACTTGCTCTGGATGAGTAAATAAGCAACTGTTTGTTCAGCATGGCAACTTAAAAGTTGATGGCATGTCAATGTTGTGCTTAAAGACTGTTCTCACTGCCCCCAAGTGGCCAAGATACATGTTAATAAGGACATTTCAGTTTCTATAGACTTATACTACAGGCTGTATAAAAGATGCATGTGTGTTAGAGATTGAAAGCCACAGAGACATTATACTGAGGAGAGGAAGTCAGAATATAAATATTTCTTTATTAAAACGTCATTCACTCATAAATAATATATAGAAATATATGACACAACAATCCCACAATGTGTATGTGTGTGTGTGTGTGTGTGTGTGTGTGTGTGTGTGTTTGTGTGTGTGTGTGTGTGTGTGTGTGTGTGTGTGTGTGTATTACGAACAAGCAAATCTTATTTACAGATGTACAAAATGGTCCTTGGTCATTATGTCTGCAGCAAAAACATCCTGCTCCTTTTAGTTCTTTTCACATATGAGACTTATCCGACAGGCAGCGGCCTGCAGGTCGTCCAGGAGGCTGAACACTGAAGCACCGGTCTGAAGAAACTGGAGTCCTCACCCAAACAAAACTGTCACCAATTCAGAGGGATACTATAGAAATACCTCCGCTCCAGTTGTAGAAGGAATATTTTAGTGTTTCTTCACGAGGCCTCCTGCACGTTCCTCCGTAAAAATGGAGGGAATAAGTTTGTCTGTGGAATTTGAGTCCTCGGCTCCGTCAGCTTCAGAGCGGCTCGTACAAACTGTTGGGTTCAGCAGAGGGACTAGAGACAGCAGGGCTGTTGTGAGGTGATCCGGGGCCCCGGGGGACCACGCTGTCTCCTGCGGGGGCCACGGCCGGGTCCGTGCTGATCCGCTCTACGATGCTGGACAAACAGTCCAAACTGGAAATGAGGGACCGTTTAGTGCTGCTGGAATCTGTAGGAAGAGAAACAGGAAGCATTAGTTTTTCCTGGAAGTGTTGAGTTTTTCATCTCTTATGGGAAAGTCGGTCGTATTAAATAACATTAAATAACAGGCAGGTCACAGTAAAGGTCATATTGAAGTACAGACTAGTCTTATTATAGGACAAATCTGTCACCAGTCATTTTAAAGAAAAATAAAGCCATGAACCAGTTACATTAAAAAAACATATTTAAGCAGGAAACTTAAAGACTTTTTACAGATTGATCATATTAAAAGATAAACTCGTCACATTAATGAAGAAACAAGTCATATTTAAAAAGATTAAGGTCATTTCAGAGGAGACATTAGTCATATTAAAGAAGCAGACAGATTTACAAGCTGTTGGAAATGAGTCACATTGAATCAGAAAATGAAACTGGTGATATGAAAAGAGAAACAAAAGACACACATCAGATCAGATCAGACTGAAGAGCTCAATATTAAACTGACCGTCTGCCGTCGGGCTGCAGTCACTGTTTTCACTTCTGGCCGAACACGGAGAGAGGAAATCCATCTGGAAGCACAAATCAGTCAATCAGTCAATCATCAATGATCCATTAGCAGACACAACGAGCTGAGACAGTGTTTGTTTAATTAGGCTTTTTAAACAGTAAATTAGAGTAAATAATTGTCTTTATGGCTGTGACTTTAACATCCAGTCCTTTCAGTCTGTGAAAAGATTTCATCTGTGTTTTTAAAACACATTAATGTTACTCTTTATTTTACATTTTAGCATCTTATTATCAAAATTTAAAACAATGTGAGACACGTTTGAAGCCGCACAGACTTTTAAGCATTGATCTTCTCAAATCTAATGCAAATTTTGAAATTACGTAGAAAAAAAATTGTACACAAAATAAAACACCTGCCCAAATAAACTAATAAATATATGTTGAGCTATGCACCTAAAACAAATCTGATTGTGCATTTACTTCCAGATTCTTTCCAACTGTAACAAATCTATAGAAAATCTATTTTATGTTTTGTTTTAAGTATTTAAAAGTTTCAAATGTGCATTTTCCATTCATCAAAATTAATCACTGTGGCCAGAAATAAATGCCCCGGAGACATTCTTTACATTTCATGAGGCAGCACATGAAGTGTTCAGCTGTTCTTGGACTCACCATGCCATCAGAGCAGTTGGAGCAGGGGCTGGAGGCGTCCGAGTCCCCGCCGTAGTGTTCCAGTGGAGGGTAGAAGGCGTCCTCCCGGCCGGCCCTCAGCAGCGTCTGCAGGGACTCGATGTAGCTGATAGCGTTGCGCAGGATCTCCACTTTGGGCAGCCGCTGGTTTGGATTGGAGGCCGTGCAGCGTTTCAGGGTCTCAAAGGCGTCGTTGACTTTACTAAGCCGACGTCTTTCTCTCATGGTTGCCGCTTTTCTTCTGTCTGCATGTGTTGTCTTCCTCTTGCAGGCCTTGCAGGCCCACAGCAGGCAGTGCCCGGCCTGGTGGAGGCCCCCAGGAGCCCTCACATGCTCATCCTTGGGGACGTGTTGGTGTTGACGGTGATGTTGGTGGTCCTCTGGCTTCAGCAGGCCGGCGTGTAACAGCCGAGCGTCCAGGTCATCAAAAAAGTTCATGTCACTGGTGCTGAAGCAGGGGTCATCGTAGAGGTCATCGGCTGAGGAGAGAGGGAAGGGAAGGTCGGACAGATCCATCGGCCTCTGCAGAGGATTCACTGAGTGACACTAAAGGGTGAAGAGGAGAAAAAGTTTCACCAAAAGTCTCTCTGATGACTGAAGATGGAAAGAGAAAGTCTCCACAAAATGTTCTGTATCCGTTGAACTAAAAAGAGAATGAAGTTATAAAAAGAGAGCGGAAAAGAAAGGATGCTCTCTCTTAACACTCTCCTGTCAAAGTCAGCTGACCTGATTAAAAAACGTAGAAACAGACTACAGAGAAGTGACAGTGTTTTTAAAGGGCCAGTCTGTGTAACTTCAGCTCCCTTGGCTTTGGTTTCTCTTTATAAAGGAGTCAGTGTGGAGGTGGGGCTGTGGTGTAAGTGACCAATGGGCTGAGAGGTGTGGAGAATGTGTGTGTGTGTGAGTGTGTGTGTGTGTGTGTGTAGGGGTGTGTGTGTGTGTGTGTGTGTGTGTGTGTGTGTGTGTGTGTAGGGGTGTGTAGGGTGTGGTGGGGTCACTGAGGTGAAACTCAGTAACAAAAAGGAAGTAATAAAAAGGCAATCAAGTCCTTCTTAAGAAATCATTCCGTCTGCAATTGAGTCTGACTGTCTTCTTACTTATAAATAAACCGATTCTAACACAAATATATAAACATCATTTAACTTTTCCTAACTTTTTCCTAAACTAAGAAATAAAATCTAGGATTGAGATTTGGGGAACTCTGTTTGAACCTAAACTGGCTTATTACAGTGTTACAGAATTGTGGATATCAAAGGTTAAAAAGATCATACAACTCAATCCAATACAACTTTTTCAAGGAAACATTTTGCTGTGAAGTTTTTAGTTATAATTTCATTCTTTAAGCACCAACCGAAGGACTTAAAAAGCTGCATGTTTTTTGTCACCTGCAGATTACACATGATAAAAACATTAATGCAGACACACACACATGGGCCCAGAGCGTGTGGAGACACGGTTATATTTCATAGGAAAAATCAGTCCTGAAACAAGTTGTTAGAGACTGAACTTCTGTACAACCGGCTCTCAGCTGCAGCAGCAGCTTGTGATGTACTTGACCAATGTTTTCCATCAACACTAATAATAATTGTCATTAATAATAACAGGATAGAACAGTGCTCAAGTATCAAAAATAAAGGCATGTTCATATTATCAATGTGAGATAAATATGATCGATAAATATGATATATGATATGATATAGGATACGATAGATAAAAATTATCTTTGTCTTTAAAATCCTACTGAAATAATATTTATTAATTTATTATTTTATTTATCTATTTATTTATATTAGCATTTTTACAGTTTTTTATTGCAGACATTTTTAACCAATCCTGTTAATTATTCTCACAAGTGTAAAAGTAAAATCCCTCTGACACTGAAGTGCCTCAGTGTGCCGTCCTGCTGAGGAGGTCATGGTGTCACATCATGTCAAGTTGTCAGGTCCCCGATCTAAAGTGGACCTGGTTTAGGGTTTTAGGGTCATCACTGGACAACAGTTTAAGACAATTTGTCCAAACAGGTGAAATGATGTCAACTCACAGACGGACTGATTGTCATTTGTTTTAAGGTTTGTTTGAAGTGGACATCTGTTTTTTTTTTTTTGTTGTTGTTGTTGATGTCGTCTCGGTTTCTTTCAAATGAACCTCTGAAATCAGAGTTTTATTATATGTAAATACTGTAGATAACGTGTGTCTTTTACACAGCCTGTTTGCATCTATTAGCACAAATATAAATGACAACTTGGGAGATTTCTTTACACTTAGTTTGGAAACAGTCTGACCAAACTCCTAATTTAAATTTAACTAAACTAACTTGACCATAAGTAACTTCAATCCTAAACCCTAAAGGACGGACACAAAATTTATCTGATGGTAATTTTATTGTAATTTGGTGAAGATTTTAATTATTTTGCATCATTTGCATCAACCATTACTTTTTTATATCTTAGAAGTTTGTGTTGTTTTAAATCCAGAGAAGATGTTTGGTTTTGTCAGTCTATACGATGGTTCATAAATTCTGATTCTCATTTAAGATTGAACAGGACCTTTTCTTTCTTTTTTCTTTTTTGACATCTTTTGTGTTTATTTGTTGTCCTGTGATTTTTCACAGCCTCGGAGGTTTAGCGTCGAGGTGTGGGACAGAACAGCTCAGATCGCAGACTCCTCACAGCTTAATGGGAAGGCTCTGCGTTAAATTTAGCAGCTCGTGAAATTTAAGACGAGTGCCCTTCTACTGGAGGCTGGTATTATTTTGGAATTTCCCCCAACTCTCTCACCCCACCCTCCCCCTCCTCCGTTCTTTAGGGAACATTCAAAAGAACCAAAAGAACATGAACCTGATCTAAATGCTGCAATGAAGGTGTCACTCATTATGATTTTAAATTGTTCCACCTAAGCGACAATGTCTCAACCCTGACCATCTTATCTAAACTGTTCAAGCATCTATTCTGTGGTATCCCAAAATGCATTGCGGGATGCTTAAAAAAAAAAAAAACTCAATACATTTGACACTCTGGACCTGCAGCCTCTGAAGTGACTGTTGATATTTCATCAAGTCGTAGAGCTCGGTTAAAAGACACAAAACAATCACACTTTCAGTGAGTATTACAATGCAATCTCCACATCAGTGTTGAAATCATGATGTCATAGTTATTTCTAATTCATCTTGTCATGACAGTGAACAAAAACAAATCTGAGGCCTTTGTTAATTTTTTTTTTTTTTTTTACATTTGCCTCAAATAATATTAATGTGACTGTTTAGTTTTTATTTTTATACTAATACATTTTAATATTTAGTTATTTTGAATGTTTATATTTAGATATTCACCTTATATATTTGCTTTGAGAAAAGTCAGATGTTTGTCATGGTCACTTCGTTCCCCTGATTGGCATCAAAACATTATTTTGTTTGTTTGTTTGTTTTTTATAATGAATTCTGTGGCTTGGAGTCGGTGTGCAGGCGTTACTTTTCTGAGGTCATGTCAGGTCACGTCCGAGCCTCTGCTCCACCAGCCTTTGTAACTCGATGAAATCTCTCGTTCACTTTTCCTTTCCTCGGTCTTGCTGAAAAAATGAAACGTGTTTTTGAAGTTTAGTCTCCATATTCCTCAATCCACTACAGCAGTCGCTATAATAAATTGAAACCATCACGACTTTAACAAGGTTTGTTAAAACAGAAAAAACTACAGTTCCCATGAAAGTGCAGTAGTGCAAGTAATTAGTATTTAACTTGGTTTCCTGGGTTTATGGGAATTGAGTTCTTGTTAAATGCTGCTAAAAAAACAAAAGATGACAATATTTAATTGAAGACACACGACTGTTGAGAAAAGTCTCTGTTCAAAGGCTGGATTTTCAGTTAGTTTCATTACATGTCAGCGGGATTTTGAATGAGGTTTGCGCTTCATCACTTAACCATGACGCGTGTATAAATACAGCCCTTCAACAGAAAATACTTATCAACTGCCCCGTCATGTCCCAGTGTTTATTGCTGTAATATGTTGTGACACATCAGATGGAAACTGAGTCACTTTTGTTTTTGTTAAAAACGGCCTCCACACTCCTCCCTAATTTCTCAAAATCCTAATCACACATGTATGAGTGTGATGCGTGAGAACAGTATTCCTCACACGCCTCCTCCTCTTCTTACATTGCCAGCTCAGCTTTAGACTTATTTTGATATCAGCTGAGGTTCAGTGTTTATTGTCTGCATGCCAGTAAACTTGGACTCCACAAAGCGTCTGGACATAAAGAAATCAATAAAAACTAAACACACTGAGAGATTATGATGATGGCTATAAGAAATTTCTGCAGAGGATAAATGTAATTTAAGATTCCTTTTAAAGAAACTACTTAGCTTTAGTTTCCCAGGCCGTGTATGAAACCTAACACAGATGCAGCGTCCCCTTGAAATAAAGTGCAGACCTACTTTGAAACTGTGAATACATTCAAACAATCCCTTTCAAGTGTAGTAATTAATACCTTGTTTCCAGGAGCTTAGTAACCCACAAGCAAAGCGGTAGAGGCCGGCAGTGTGACTGCTGCCTCCTGGTACAGTGGTCCACCCGACTACAGATGCCACAGTCCGCACACCGGCCTCTGCGCCTTCAGCCCCCGAGGAAGAGGTCCAGGTACAGGCAGGCTCCTCTGGACTTCCTGAGAGAGCAGGCAGACAGGGAAGAGGAGAGGGAGGGGCAGCACATGAAGCTACAGACATGACTATACACACTATGCTGTATGTAGTTATGGGTGTGTGTGTGTGTGTGTGTGTGTGTGTCCTGCAAACTGTGTGACTTCATATGTAGTCAACAAACACAAACTGCTTTCTCCATAACAACGAACTCCCACAATAGGCGCATGTGGTGAATGAAAATGAATGCAGGCAATTTGGTGCATGATAAATTATTTTACATTTTACATTTACATTTTATTAAATGCAGACTGGCGAGTTAATATTGCCGAATGACTGAACTGACCGTTCTGCTTCCTCCTGTCCTCAAGTTCATCCAAAGTACCGGAGTCCCAACTTTGCATAAGCTACTTGATTTTTAGAAAAGGCCGATATATAAACGTAGGCAAACGTAAAATTTGTCTGTACTAATCTATCAGGTCACAGAACATAAAGCTGATGTAACATTAGCTTTGGCTAACAACAGTTGACACAAAGCTAATGTAAAATTAGCTTGAGTTAAGCTAATGGTGATAAAAAACATTAGCTAACAGGATACAAATCTAACGGCCTGAGGTAAACTGCACGATAGAGATTTTTATTTTTAAGCTGTTTCCATGTATTCCATGGAAGGAATGAAAGTTACAGGAGTCACTTTCTCACACAGCAGAAATCCCGTTTTAAAACTGAACTTCGGACTTAAAATGAAAGAGAGAAATTGGAGAGTTAGTTCTGTAGTTCTTCTGAACCACCGCGGTCGTTTCCCAGCCGGCTGTGTTAACGTGTCATCTCTCCTCAATCCAGATTTCCTCTGCTTTTTGACTTTGGCTGAAGCTCTTAATCCTATTTC